CAAGACATAAGGTCAGGAAACGCACCTAACCTGCTCCTCTTAGGTCCAGAAAAAGTATGGTGATGCTTTAGGGTTTGTATTCACCATGTAATATAAATACCGAGAAAAAAAAAAAAACTGCAAATACAGTATTTCTACTCATTGTAAAGATTCTTCCCAAATCCCTTTTAGTGGCTGTACTTCCTGCAATTCTAAGAACATAAGTTTTTCTTTTGGCTCTATAGTTATGATCTTGTATAACAGTATCTACTATCCCTTCCAGGTTACCAAGAACATTCTCATTCACAAATCACTGTTTTCCCACATAACAAAGTCTTTTGTCTTAGTGTAAAGCAGTTGCCATAAATTCCTGCGTTAAAACTGGTAGTATCATTGTCTGAACAGGGAGGCAGGGGAGAAATCTGAGCCTAGATTTGCTTTTAATGGCCACACCTACAGAATCTAAATAAACAGAGGGGTGTCCTTATAAAGCGATAGAGGCAAAATACCAGCGAATGTATTGTTACCAGGAAGAAACAAAGTGTACTGCGAACAAGGAGTCGGAAGAGAGATTTTCTATCCTGCTTTGGCTCTTAGCTAGTCCTGATGTCTTGGGTAAATCCTTCGATTTTGCTGAGCCTCAGTTTCCTCATTTACGAAAGGGAAAAAGGACCCTTGTCTCCCATGCCTTATAAGACTGTTGAATGATTACAGAGCACTTGGAAAACCTAAACGGCTACACAGTGCTTACGTTTTTTAAACGCAACAGTTTTGTCTCCTAACTGATGCAGCTTGGGGATACTTAATCTATGCTTAAGTTGTTTCCCTGAACAAGCCTATTGTAGAAAATTGCCTACTACTACCTTCATAGAACTTAGACCTAGAAGGATCTTTGGGATCCATCCTCTTATTAGAGAAATAAGGAAACAAAAAGATAGAGCGTAACTAAAGATCACACTGCTGTGGTCTACATAATTATTATTAATCATTAGAACCGAAGGGTCGGGACTCCACGGAGCCACATTAACCACTCACCCTTTTCCAGCCTTCCTGAGTTCACTTACCTGAAGACAACACCACCAGAAATGAAAGGAAGGTCAGAGGCTAAAGGCGCCTCTGGCATGTGTACTGGGGATGTGGTGTCATCAAACAACTCGTTAGCCAAATTTCAAATTCCAAATATCAAAGAGATCGCTCTCCTCAGCATTTCAGAGCCACAAAATGCCATTTGCTGTGTCTTTGTCCACGTGCGTGGAACTCAAGACCACTTATCAAAGGATTAAAAGCAGAAAAATCCGGGTAGGGGGAGAGAGGTTCTGTTAACGCACGGTCATTAGCCGTGTTCATTTCTCCAAAGAACAGGAAACATCCTGGGCGGAGGGGAAGGGGCGTGCGCGTAGAAGGACTCGGTAACAAACGATTC